GGGGGGGGCCACACCTTGAGTCTCGAGTTCAGCAATCACAACTAGGCAGCCATGGAGGAGCTCCGAACTAAATCTAATGAAATCTTCAAGCGAAGAAATCACGATGATGGGCCTCCAGCGGCTCGCGGCCGCAGTGCTGGCCGTAGTGGTCGCGGCCATGTGTAAGCGAGTAAGCGCCATCTGCATCCTCCCACTACAGAGTTTGAGACAAGACGATCCGCAGCTTTGGTTCTGCACCAAGCAAAGACACTGAAATCTGGCCACTGGTGTAATCGGTGTAATGCGTAATGAATGTAATGGGGAACCTGCAAAACTCTGCAATATTCTTTGCCCCAACGCGGAGCCAGAAAACTCTGCTCGGGTGGTTTCAACACACCGTCGACCGCAATGTGCCTTCAGCCCGATGACCACGATAATCGGCCAGAGAACAAAGACCACCAGGACTGGGAGACCTTCTTTCTTAGGGTTTAGGGTTTAGGGTTTAGGGTTTAGGGTTTAGGGTTTAGGGTTTAGGGCATCCACACTGGACGCAAAGACGTGACGTAGGGGCTCGCAGCTGTGGGCGTGGCTTGCATGATGCAAATATGTAGAATCAGCAAACGTACACACACGCACTGACACGAGGCGAGAACACATCAACTGCTATGCTGCTATGTACGAGACAGCTCCTTATTTTGGCCGAGCTGCAGCACACATCCGTGCACCTCACATGCTGGGCCATCAGTGAATCAATGAGAGGACGCGACTCTCCGTCTCTATTGCTTGCCGGGTCTAGAACAAACGAATCAGTTTCAGCTGGAATACCGGCGCTTGATATCAGGACCAGGATTTCCCTCTTGCTCCTCCTCGTCTTCGTCCGCCGCACCGCAGCACATGAGTCTTCGACAAAACCTTCCTAATGAGTTGCAATCGGTTCATCACAACACAGTCAGCTCTAAAACTCCGAAAGCAAAGCTAAAGCGATGCTGTACCACGCAAAGCTTCTGTTGATTTGGACAGCGAAAAGTCTTACAAAGATGGAGGCCGTCCAAAATGGACCTGCTCTTCCTACTGCTGCATGGTTCCGTTTCTCAAGCAACGCCTGAGAGCCCAAAGCAGCGGCCGTGGGGGCGAGTCTGACCAAGCAAGTTGCTGCAGAGTCGGCTTTAAAATCTCGAGGCAGTGAAAGTGAGGAGCCCCCAGTTAGCCGAAGCCAAAACATGCCAAAAGGAGTTCGAACTCCAAAGCCGCTTCACAAAGGATGGGGCGCACCAATAGACCGAGTCACCCCCAGCAGATTGCCCCATGATTGTCACCTCCGGGCTGCGGGGGTCTTTGGAAAGTGGGAAAAGCAGCGAGTGCAAGTCCAGGTCGATGCTTCGTACAAGTGGGCGTCTGCTACCCCAAGATACAACAAGTACTTCAAGAGTTGCCAGGGGGCGAAGACAGAAGGAGGAAAGTACTCTATCCTCACCCCTTTCCCTTAACCCTAAACCCTCTCCCCTAGCCATCAAGGCCACCCGCGTGGCGTCGCCGCCCATACTCCGGATCTCCTTCTGCACCCACTGGAGAGCGGCGACCTGCTTCGAGGCATCGCCGCAAAGCTGAGAGGAATCGAAGGCATCTACTCGCAACAGTAACAAGTAGTAGTAATAATCAAAAGACGCAGGATAACAACAAGTAGTAATGGTAATGATGATAGCAAATAATACTACGAAGAATAACACTAACAACAACAATAACAATAAAAATCATAATTATAGCCGTAGCAGTAGCAGTAGCAGTCGTCGTCGTCGTCGTCGTCGTCGTCGTAGTCGTAGTAGCAGCAGCAGCAGCAGCAGCAGCAGCAGCAGCAGCAGCAGCAGGCAGCAGTAGTAGTAGTAGTAGTGGTAGTGGTAGTGGTAGCGGTAGTGGTAGTGGTAGTGGTAATGGTAGTGGTAATAGTCGCAGCAGCAGTAGTGGTAGTAAGAGTGACAGTCGCGGTAGTGGTGGTAGT